AGCAGTAGGGTAATAAGTAGTTCTGTAAGTGGTAAGGGCGTTAAATTTGTTTTTAATATAGAATACTTCATTTTATTGTGCTTTGCTATGTGCTTTGTAGATACTGTGCTTTTCATAAATTGATTTGTGGCAACCCTGTATTGAGCAAGTCTGTTGGCACCATTTTTCCAATAACATTTGCTCACTTTGTGTCTCTGTCACATTTTGGTAAATCTCACAATATTTCAAACTTTTTCATTATGGTATTTCTTATGATGATCTGTGATCAGTGCTTTTTGATGTTACTATTGTAATTGTTTTTGGGTGCCATGAACAACTCCCATATAAGACAGTGAACTTAACAGATAAACATGTATGTTCTGGCTGCTTCACCAACCTGTCTCTCTGTCTCTCTCTGTCTCTCTCTCTCTCTCATCTCTCATCTCTCTCATCTCTCTCTCTCTCATTCCTCTCATCTCTCTCTCTCTCTCCCTCTCTCCCTCCCTCCCTCCCTCCCTCCCTCCCTCCCTCCCTCCCTCCCTCCCTTGCCTCTCTCCTATTCCCTGACACAACAATAGTGAAATTAGGCCAATTAATAATCCTACAATAGCCTTTACATTTTTAAGGAAACAAACAGTCTCACATCTCTTTAAAACAAAAGCTGAAAATGATTAAACTTAGTCAGGAAACCATGTCATGGGCCAAGAAAGCTAGGTCAAAAGCTGGACCTCTTGCATCAAACAGTTAGCCAAGTTGTAAATGCAAAGGAAAAGTTCTTGAAGGAAATTAAAAATGCCACTCACTGAACACATGAATGATAAGAAGGCAAAACAGCCTTATCACAGACATGTATAAAGTTTAAAAGATCAAACCAGCGACAACATTCCCTTAAGCCAGTGGTTCTCAACCTTCTGGCCCTTTAAATACAGTTCCTCATGTTGTGACTCAACCATAAAATTATTGTCGTTGCTACTTCATAACTGTAATGTTGCTACTGTTATGAATCGTAATGTAAATATCTGATATGCAGGATGGTCTTAGGCGACCCCTGTGAAAGGGTCGTTCGACGGCCAAAGGGGTCGCGACCCACAGGTTGAGAACTGCTGCTTAAGCCAAAGCCTAATCCAGAGCAAGGCCCTAATAACTCTCTTCAGTATGAAGGCTGAGAGAGGTGAGGAAGCTGCAGAAGAAAGTGTTTGAAGCTAGAAGAGGCTAGTTCATGAGTTTTAAGAAAAGAAGCCATCTCTATAATAAAAGTGCAATGTAAATCAGCAAGTGCTGATGTAGAAGCTGCAGCAAGATATCCAGAAGATATAGCTAAGACAATTAATGAAGGTGGCTATACTAAACAACAGATTTTCAATGTAGGAGGAACAGCATTATATTGGAAGAAGATGCCATCTGGGATTTTCATAGTTATAGAGAAGTCAGTGCCTGGCTTCAAAGCTACAAAGCAAAGGCTGACTCTCTTGTTAGGGGCTAATGCAGCTGGTGACTTTAAGTTGAAGCCAGTTCTTATTTACCATTCCAGAAATCCTAGAGCCCTTAGAATTATGTTAAATCTACTCTGCATATGCTCTACAAATGGAAAAACAAAGCCTAGATGACAGCATATCTGTCTACAACATGGTTTACTAGTGTTGTAAGCCCATCATTGACACCTATTGCTTAGAAAAAGAAAGATTCCTTGGAAAATATTACTGCTCATTGACAATGCACTTGATCAACCAAGAGCTCTGATGGAAATGTACAACTAGATCAATGTTATTTTCATGTCTGTGAGCACAACATTCATTCTGCAGCCCATGGAACTAGGAGGAATTTCTATTTTCAAGCCTCATTTTACTTAACATACACATTTCTTAAGGCTATAGGTGCCATAGATAGTGATTCCTGTGATAGATCTGGGCAAAGTAAATTTTAATGCCTGGAAAGGATTCATTATTCTAGATGTCATTAAAAACATTCATGCCCAGCTGGTGTGGCTCAGTAGTTGAGCACTGACCTATGAACCAGAAGGTCATGGTTTGATTCCCGGTTAGGGCATATTCCGGGGTTGTTGGCTCAATCCCCAGGGTGGGGCATGCAGGATGCAGCTAATCAAAGATTCTCTTATCATGGATGCTTGTATCTCTTTCTCCCTGTCCCTTCCTCTCTGAAATCAATATATATATATATATATGTATTTAAAGAACATTCATGATTCATAGGAAGAGGTTAAAATATCAAACAATAATAGGAGTTTGGAAGAAGCTTATTCCAACCGTAAAGGATGACTTTTTGTAGGAAGACTTCAGTGGAGGAAGTAATTGCAGATGTGGTGGAAATAGCAAGAGAACTGAAATTAGAAGTAAAGCCTGAAGATGTAACTGAATTGCTGCTATCTCATGAGGTATTGCTTCTCATGGATGAGCAAAGAAAGTGGTTTCTTGAGATGATGATGATGGAGTATCCTTAGCTGTGATACTATAATAAACTAGAGGCCCAATGCACAAAATGCGTGCACTGGGAGGGGGGCCCCTCAGCCCGGCCTGCACCCTCTCACAGCCCGGGATCCCTCTCGCAGTCCAGGATGCCTTGCTCCTTACCGCCCACCTGCTTGCTGCTCCTTAGTGCTGTCGCGGAGGTGGAGAGGCTCCTGCCACCACCACTGTGCTTGCCAGCTGTGAGCCCAGCTTCTGGCTGAGCAGTGCTCCCCCTGTGGGAGCACACTGACCACCAGGGGACAGCTCCTGTTTTGAGCGTCTGACCCCTGGTGGTCAGTGCGCATCATAGCAACCAGTCGTTCCACCCTAATGGTTGCTTGGGCTTTTATTATAGACTAGTGGCCCAGTGCATGAAATTTGTGCACAGGGGGGGGGGGGTGTCCTCTAACGCCCAGCCTGCACCCTCTCCAATC